TGCTGCACATGTTAAGTAATACATGCATACGACTTATATATAATAGGAAACAGATTCTTCAATGGGTGCGTGTTATTAGGCTTCGGATAAGCAATCCAATTGTTAATAAACGTACGCATTCAAGTTATTCGCCTATAATAGTGGAGTATCTCATTACCATACTGTATATATAATGAAACGTTGTAATTTGGATTTTACAGACCATTCATAACGATGTTTACATATTCTCATCTTACTCACCCTCCTTCTATGTATCAAATACAAAAATACCACAAATCCGGAAGTTTATACGAAGAGGTACAGGAGATATGAGCGAAACAGACGTTCTTCGTGCAGAGCACATGTTTTAGTTGTTTTCATCTAAAACAGCACATTTTAAGCCTGAGAAGATCTTTTTCTGTGGAGCTAAACGCTAACTGATTTTGATGTGTTGGATCGGTTAGATTTTAGCTTCACAAATGTAGATCTTTTCAGGTTTAGAATGTGTCGTTTTAGCCCAGACATACAGCAGGATGCTCTTGTCCTTTTGTAGATATATCTTTTGGTACCTTAATGCAGGCTTAAGCAAAAGAAATATCTTCAAAAGGTATAGATGGATCCTGTCGTTTGCCTGGGCTGTTTTTTTTTTTTTTTCCTTTTTTCTGTTATTTAAAATAAGCTCTCATGTCTTCTTTATTGTGTTTGTTTTGGTTGATAATAAGTGGGATGTTTCCTTTATTATTGATGTTGTTTTTGTTGTTATTATTAATATTATTATATTTGTAAAAGTAGCAGTTCAAAGTGTAAGTTATTGCAATGTGAATAATAAATCCCATTGCAATTTATTCATTTTTGGTCAATTGGTTATTTTTCATACTGGTTAAATGAACATGCAAATCCGAGTACCATTAGACAAAATTCAATCAACGCACATTAAGATCAAATGCTACGCATATTAATATCCGGAAAAAAACACTCAGACGTACGTATTTTTTTAATGTTCATTATGTTACTGTATTGCGCATATTAAGCTTTTTATGTATTTCCAACCGAATAAACTTTTAAAACATAAACCAACGCACATTATATTGCAGTGTTACGCATCCTAAGCTTTCGTATCGCATTTCAAGTAAATGTAATCATTTTTTTTTTGATTTTCTAGAATTGTTCTTTAATATATTCTATTTTATCGCATTTGTTGGTTTAATGCTGCGCCAAGTTAAAGGGCTTATCAACGCATATGTAAGCACCGTGAAAACAACGAAGTTAATCATAATAAACATAAAATTTATATTATTAAAGTATTAAATAGTGGACACTTATTACATCAAAACGTAATACTAACAACGTGTGTCCACCATAACATGCATGATCAAGCTTAACCTGTCCTTTATTTCTTCACGAAGACTGGCCCGTTTTTTGAGTCGACTTCTTCCTCTTCAGCAGCTTCCTCAGCTGCCAGGTAGGCAAGAGCCTCCGTTTTCCAGGTGTTGTAAGACACCTCTGTTCCTGTGGAATCATCAGAGGTGTCCTCACCGGGGAAGTCGTAAATAAAAGCCTCGAACCTTTCTTTGAAATTTGGATCGTTTAGATCCTTTTTCAGGTCGGGTAGATGGTATTTTGGTATTTTGGAAAGTGGTTTACGGGGTTGCCTGGACGGGCTGTCTTTCTCAGCATTTTTTGTTTTTTTTCCATCTTTGATTTGAGATGATAAGGTGTGATGGACTGATGGATGATCCATTCTTTATATAGGCTCTTCAAAGGTGTGATGTAGAATGGAAATGAACCGGTGCATGTTAAAATAAGTGACAACTGTATTTCATTGTCAGCAGTTTTTTCATTTCCCATAAAGGCAATCTGTTAAAGTTGAATGGTCATTCAACTTCTAAAAAAACGCACCTATTAATGTTAATCTTTTCGAAGTTGAATGGTTATTCAATATTTGAAAAGACGCACCCATTTGATATATATATATATATATATATATATATATATATATATATATATTTTATTGGGACTAAGTCAGTTAGTAGTCAATGTATAAATAAATAAATTGACTCATATCCTTTTAAGGATATCCCAACGCACAGTGTAATAGTAATAGACGCATTTTAAATATATATTTGTTCCGTGAAGTTTATGTTATCCATAAACGTACACGCACGTTAAGTGTAAATGTAACGCATATTAAAATATAAACGTGCGCATATTAATAAATAAATTGACTCATATCCTTTTTAGAATATCCCAACGCACATTGTAATAGTAATAGACGTATTTTAAATATACATTTGTTTCGTGAAGTTTATGTTGTCCATACACGTACACGCACGTTAAGTGTAAATGTAACGCATATTAAAGCAATAATTTCAGATAGATTTGTACTTGGCACTGGAAATAAGTGAGAAGTCAATTTCTTTGTCAGCGATTTTTATATTTCCCATAATGGTAATCTTTCGAAGTTGAATGGTGACTCAATATTTTAAAAAGACGCAACCATTGAATTTTTTTTTTATTGCGTCTAAGTTAGCGAGCGTACAATATCACGCACATTAAGGATGAAAGACACGCATATTAACGTGTTTAGGTGCGCGTATGAGTGAATGAATCGACGCATTTTGCTATTTAAACCCACCATTCTACTAGTCTCAAATCTCTCACTTACAAACACATTTTGCATTTGTATTTTCCCTTTTAGGCAAATTTTCAATGGCCGCTGAACTTCATTCTCAAATTGTTGGCAACCAACTTAGGATAGATCTGCGGTGGAATTACATGAAGGTCCGGGTGGTTCGTGTTGTTAGGCTGCCAGAATCAAGAGGTTCTGAAAACATAAAGTCTATTGAGTGTGTGTTGCATGATTTCGAGGTATTTTTTTTATTTACCGTATTATAAATTTTAATATTTTATATTTCTAAAATTTAGTGTTTATGCATTTTTTTTTTTAATAATTGCAGGGAACTGTTGTACACATGCACATCCCACAAGCGCATGTTCAAAGGTGCCTCAACAAATTTGAAGTAGGCAAAGCCTATTTAATGCATAGGTTTGACGTGGCGGATAACACCTATAGAAACAAAACTTCGCCTCTCAGGTATATGTTGGTGTTTTGCGATAGAACTCGCGCAGGACGGCTGAATGATGATGAGTTGCCAACGTATGTTTATGATGGAGAGGAATACAACTTCGACGAAGAGGTGACCTATTGCATACTTACAATTTTTTTTAATATAATTTTATTGATGTATTTACAGTTTCATAACTTTCACGATTTTATGGATCAACAGGTGCCGGATGCCACAGTTGCAAATTTGCGTAATGAGGACAGAAATAACGAGGAGGCTGCATGAGGATGAATAACGATGAATGTGTGAACATTTTATGTTTTTCATGTTATTTTGTTATTCTGTATTAATGTACTCCAACAATTTTTATTTGAATGATATATTATGGTGATATATTATGTCATTATTGACGAATCTTCTTTTAAGAACACCCCATCGCACATTGTTATATCAATAGATGATGATAGATACGCATAATAAAGTAAGTGAGTGTACAATCTCATGCACATTAAGAATTTTAGATACACACTATAAAGTGTTAACATGAGCAAATTAATGAATAATAAAGTTTTCTAAAGTTGACAGGTCATTCAATACGTAAAAAAAAATGCACATTATGTTACTGTATTGCGCATGTTAAGTTTTTTTTTTTATTTGCCACGGACTATAGTTTAAGTAGATAACGAAATGCAAATTTTGTTGCAGTATTACGCATATTGAGCGTACGTATTGCGCATGTCAAGCTTTTTTCTTTGTTTTTAATTTTCAAGAATTGGCTCTTTAAGAATTGTTTAATATAATTAATTCAATGGATGAGCCTACTAGCGAAATGGTAGAAGTCTTTGATCAAACTGATCCCGCCCAGGATTGAACCCCTTAAAGGCTTAACTTTTTTAAATTATATTTTATTTGTTTTTGGTTTAACAAAATACAATAAACGCATGTTAAAGTGATATTTCGCGCTCTTAAATTGGTTTCCCCACGCACTCTAAACTTTTGGCTTCAAAAAATATCGTTTTTCGATAAAAGTTAATTAAACGTATATTTGAACGCATATTGTATCTGTCCTCAGCGCATGTAACAGAGCAAAGCAAAGCACATTAAGTGTTTTATAACAATCCACGCAATATTCGAAGTTAATTTATGTCAGAATTTTAAGGCATTGGTAGTTGGGGAGACGGATAACATTGAACGGTTATTCAATGCCTTAAAAAACGCCCCCATTAACGCAACATTGAGGGGTCGTTTACCAAAATGGAAAAATGGAAAATTTTCTGAAAAAATGGAGAATTGGAGAAGTATAAGAATGGAAAATGGAAAACTTGTTTACTAAAATCAATTCTCAAATATAATTTTCTATCTCCATTCTTCCATTTCTTTAAGATTTTGGAGAAAGAAAATTCCATGTTCTCCATTTGGAGAATTAGCAAAAACGCGCGTGAACAGTAACTTGTTGAGTAAAGGTCCTAGGTTCGCTTCTTCTTTACATTTTGCTTGGCTCCTCTTCTTCTGTTTTTCTTCTTCAATTATTATTATTATTATTATTATTATTATTATTATTATTATTATTATGTTTTTCTTCAGTTTTCACTTAGGCGCCTCTTCTTCAGTTTTTCTTATTCAATTATTATTATTATTATTATTATTATTATTATTATTATTATTATTATTATTATTATTATTATTAATATGTTTTTTTTTCTTTTTTCCTTTTCTCTTATTATTATTATTATTATTATTATTATTATTATTATTATTATTATTATTATTATTATTATACCCGTGCAATGCACGGCATGAAAATTTTAAGCATAAATGTTATTGAATTGTCCCATATCAATCGTTAATTTAACTATAAAAACTTAATCAGTAATAATTAAAAAAATCAAAATTACAGATTATTAAAAACTTCTTTGTAAACCACATTAGTGGTTGAGTTACAACATGTTCCTAAATCACTACAGATTAAAACTTTTAAACCATTTGGATTGCTAACTCTTGAAGCAGCAACATACAATTGACCGTCCTTATTTGCGTATCATATGCATGTATTAATGATGATGACCCATTTGTGTTGGTAATAGTAGACTGTACAACATTTTGATCTGAAATAATAAAGACGTAAGTAGACTATTGGAAGTGAAATAAATCAGAATATGCACATTTATAATTAATACTAACCATAAGTCAACACACTCAAAGGAGTCGATAGCGAGCCTTGGAATACACCATATACAATTAACGGACTTGATGAAATATTCTTCAATGTAGAAGAACAATTTTCTACCAACAAAAACAAACCGATGAAATATATTAGATAAAATCATCCTATATAAGAGCAACTTAAAAAACAAAAATTATTTACACAACCATATTATTTAACTATATTATTTAACACACAAACCATTATATATAACCTTTTCAAATGTTTAAAAAGTTTTTGACATACAAAACATTATGGGGTGTTTGGCAAATGGCTGATAGCTGGTAGCTGATAGCTGATCGAATTAGATGATAGCTAATAGCTGATTGTGTTAGTTGGTTTGACCAACTGATTGTATTAGCTGGTTATAAAAAAATGTTTGGTAAATTAGCTTATTACTATTAGCTTATTGCATGTAAAATGACATTTAAGGGTATGAGTGTATTGTATTATTTTAAATTATAAATATAACAAAATATATAAACTCTTATTGATAAATGATTATAAAATTTAAACCAACATCTATACTTTTTCTAGGGCATAAGTTAATTATTTTAGTTTATTTAACTATAATTAAATTATATTTGAAAAAATATTATTAAATTATTTTTAATTTTAATAATTTAAAATTCAAAATAATTTTTTTTCTGTAATTATTATTATTATTATTATTATTATTATTATTATTATTATTATTATTATTATTATTAAATAGTCAGTACCCACAGTCCCACACCCACAACCGGTTATTATTATTATTATTATTATTATTATTATTATTATTATTATTATTATTATTATTATTATTATTGTTAAATTAAATACCCAAACCCACTTACCCACAAATACCCAAATCCACTTACCCACAACCCATTCCCAATCCCTACCCAACTTCCTCTGCGAACGATGCGAAGCAGCGAAAAGAAACGGCAATTTCGAAGCGAAGACGGCGAAGAAGAAGATGAGAAGCAGAGGATGAAGATCTGGTTATTGGAGATGGCAGAAGGCAAGAATCAGAGGAGCGAGAAGCGGTGGGCAAGAAATGCGAATCTGGTTTTTAATTTTTTTTTTTTTTTTGTGAATTAAAAAATATAGTTCGTATGTTGAGTTTTGAAGATGAAGATGATTTCTGTGATGGGTTAATAGTCAGTTTCATTATTTTTTTAATTTGTGAATTTTCTTCCATTCTGTTCTGTTCCATAGCTCCATGTGAGGGGAGGAGAAGAAGAGGCGGTAGGGTTTTCCATTATTTTGTTCCTTTACTGAATATAGGTGAGATTTTGGATGAAGATGAGATCAGGGATAATTTAGACTTTTTAGAAGAAATGGAGAAGAAATAGAATCAGCCAAGGGAGAAACGTTGCTCCCAGCAGCGTTTAGAAAATTACTCTTGCTGAGTAATTTGTGCGATTCATCAAATCGCAGATGGCTTTCATTTTTTTTTTTTTTCAATTTAATCTTATATATTGAAAGGTATATCTGCGAATTCCTAAGATGACTAACATTCATTTATATTTTTTCATTATAACATATTGATTCGTATATTTCTTCATCGAAGTGATGCATGGAAGATCTGAGTACGGATCTGTGTTTTTAAAGTGCTCAGTAGCCCTAATTTTGCATACGGCTCAAAGGGCAATAGATCTTCTAAAAGGTAAGTGTAGATTAGGGCTATTTCATTTGGGTAATTCTATTTCCAAAAGTACTATTAGTCAAATGACATTTAATTGTTTCTTTACCTTACGAATTTTACCTCTATTAATTTAAGCTTATATATTGTAAATTTTTTTCGAGGATCTAGAACTTTAAGAAGACATTCTTCTATGAAGGTTTATACAAAGTTAAAGATAAGTGTAATGTGAAGGGTTAATTATTATACTGTATTTGTATGAAGATTAAGCATACAATATTTGAAATATGCATTTGGATTTCATATTCATTAAATTGTAATAAAAAAATAGAACATTTGTTTAGATTAAAGTAATATAAGGCAAACTGTTAACTAACCTTTGTTATGTGATGATAGTTTTCTCTTGTTTCCAATAACTGTTGAACCAGTTAGTTGCTTCATAGCTCAATACTCTGCTTTCTACTTCGCCCAGAAAACTGTTAGGATAGTATCATTACAAAACAGTGTTCTTATATGCTTATGAACATGTTTGTTTCTTGAATGCCATGTATATATAGCTATCAGCTTGTAGAGAATTCAAAACTCACAATTTAGGATTGCTATAGTGTACTCAATGTTGACCATCGATGATTACAGCAATTTGATGCTTTTTTTTTTTTTGGGGGGTCTTCTAATCCCATTATTCTAACCTAAACATAATACATGTCAATATAATACAGTAATCCTCTGATTTCTTTCAAGTTCGAAATATCTTGTTGCATCTCAAATTTCTGATTCATGTTTCTACTGACTGCCCATGATATATTTGTTCTTTCTGGTCTGTTCCATTGGAAATACTACCTGCAATAATTAGTTTTCTTTCTACAGTATGTGGTCTTTGGACATAACATGCCTTAACCTATGGAGTATCAAGGATCACTCTTAGGCATTGATACACTTCTTGGTTGGCCTTTACACCTCCCTATCTCTAAGGTGAATTAATTCTATAGCATTTTATTTTGACTTTATCTTTCCCGTATAATTTCACTTAAAAAATTGGGATCTAACATTTTTCTGTGCAAGTTTTGCCTCTCCCAGTTCAAGTTTCCCCAAAACAAATGAGCATCACTTTATAAATCTTAAAAAGGAAGAAGTTTCGTGAGATAGAGAGGAAAATATTACCTCCTGTTTCTTGATCTTTCTCTTGTGTTTCTGTACAGTGTAAATGTGAGGTTTCACTTTCTATTGTGTTTCATTGTAAATGTGGGTTTCACTATCTTTCTCTTGTGTTTCCGTGTAAATGTGGAGTTTCACTTCCTCTTGTGTTTCATTGTATTTATAGCTAGCATCTCACAAAAATTCAGTTTCAAAAATATGTAATAATTATATTTTAGCAGCTTGCTTGTGCATTGGTAATAAATGATACGGAGTAGTTATTAATTACCTGTCAATGCTGCCAGAACTTTATGTCAATCACTGCATACCTTTATCAGTTAAACAGTGCTCCGTAATAATTAGCTTTGAAAAATGAAAAAGGTGTAAGATATTGTAAAATCTTGGGCCGGTCAGTCATGCAATTTGTCAAAAAAAAATAATTCTAAATTAAATTCAAAAATTTTGGGCGGGACAATTGAGCCTAATCCGTTTGGCTTTTTTATATATAGGATATGTTTATTTTTTTTCTTTTTTCCTTTTCTCTTGTTATTATTATTATTATTATTATTATTATTATTGTTGTTGTTGTAGAAATGTACAAATGCTATATGATAGTATTTATTTATTTAATAAAATCAGAAAATTAGAGAAATGAATATTATTATTATTATTATTATTATTATTATTGTTATTATTATTACTATTATTATTATTATTATTATTATTATTATCTTTGTTGTAGAAATGTACAAATGCTATATGAGATGATTGTATTTAATAAAATCAGAAAATTAGAGAACTTAAAAACTGGAGGAATGAGGAATGAAAATTAGAAAATTGGAGAAATGGAAAACTGGAGAAATGGAGAAGGAAAAATGGAAAAATGGAAAACTGGAAATGGAAAAATAGAGAAATGAAGTAAACGACCCATGAAATTTTCAAATCAGTTCATTGGACCAAGTTATTCGCCTATAAATTGGAAAGAACAACACACAATCGAGCATCAGTTTTCATTGAAATGGTCACCTCTCACGTCTCCGTACGTTCAGTAGAACCATCTCCTTTTATTCCTCATCTTGCATGCCCTCTTCACCCCTCTCGCCCTCCAGATTGTAGTGATTGTAAAGAAATACAAAGACAACACATTCTAAACCTGAGAGAGAACTCGTCGTCCCCAGCTGCAAGCTCGCCATGCTGCAACCAAACATCATTCAAGGCTGAGAGAGTTGAGGACATCCGACATCCCAAATAACACGTACGGCTGCCAGGAATCTATAATACACAGCAAGCTTAGAGACCACGAGCCTACATGCATCCACACTCCTTGCTCATGTCCAAATCCAGGTTTTCAAGGCTTGTGGTAGGCTAGCAGCATGTCGGATGATGCCGGAACTAGAAGAAATGCCTTCAAAGCACTAGGAAAGATGCACTGAATGTTATTGGTGTTGTTTCAATGTGTATTTACGTTTACAAATACTAATGTATTAGAGTGTAAATTATTATTTTTATTAATATAGAAACCAACGCTCATTGTGTTACAATATCACGCATTTTAAATTGATATGTCACGCATGTTAAATTCAAAGCATGTATGTGTCATTTTAAATGCAAATTATTTCATAATCAAACAAACGCACTTTAAGTTTTGCAATCGCGCATTCTAGACTAATTTTCAACTCAATCTCTGAGTAATTACGTTTTTATACATAGACCAACGCACATTACGTTTACGTGTTACGCATATATAAGCCGCAGTGTAGTGCACCTTTAAAGTGTAAATCAACGCATATTATGAATTAAATAGAGGCATATTGCTTCCTTTTAAATTCTTGATTAGTAAGTAGGCAACATATATTTTGGTATACAAGGAATAAATGGGTGAGCTTACTGGTGAAATGGTAGAAATCTTTGAATATATCGAATTTGCCTAGGATTGAATCCCCCCCAAAAGACTTAAAATATTTTTGGCCGGTAATCAACGCATCTAAAGACTTTGGTGTTTACGACGGACCAAAGATTTTATAAATAAACCAACGCACATTACGTATACGCGTTACGCATATTAAAAACAAGCTCTCATGTCTGCCTCTGTTGTTGTTATTAATAACGTATTATAATCAAAGTAACGGATGAGCCCACTGGTGAAATGGTAGAAGTCTTTGATTAAAATGATTTTGCTTAGGATCGAACCGCCGTAAAGACTTGAAGTTTTTATTATATTTTATTACTCCGTACTTGTTTTTTGTTTAATAAAATATAATACACGCATATTAGACTGATATTTTGCGCACTTTAATTGGTCTCCCGACGCCCATTAAACTTTTGGCTCTAAAAAATCACTTATTTCGATGCAAATTGATTAAATTTATATTTTCACGCATGTTGTTCTTGTAGGTCGCGCATGTAACAGATCAAAGCAAAGCATATTAAGTCTTTTATACCAACCCACGTAATATTCAAAGATATTTGATGTCAGAACTTTAAGGCATTTGTAGTTGGTTGGGGGAAACGGATAACATTGAATGGTCATTCAATGTCTTAAAAAATGCACCCATTAAAGCAAATCTTGAAAAATCTAATGTGTCTGTAAATCACGCAACATTCAAATCTCAAATCAGTGCATGTGACCAAGTTATTCACCTATATATAAATTATTAGAAGGAACAACACACAACTGAGCATCAGGTCATTGAAATGACTATCTCTCACTTTTCCGCAAGTAGAGAAGAATCCTCTTCATTTATTCTTCATCTTCTCTGGCATTTTCATCTTCATCGCCCTCCAGCTTGCAGTGACTTTAACTAAATACAAAAACAACACATTCTAAACCTGAAGCGTCATTTGTCATTCTCAGCTTCGAGCTCATCATCTAGTTTCCAAACAACACCCAAAAGGCTTAGAGTTGAGCAATTGTGGGTGGCTGGTGATGTGTGGGATGCTGCCGGAACCAGAAGAAATGTCTTCAAAGTACTAGAAGAAATAAATATGTGCAATCGTTTATGTATGTATCATTTTGCCTGCAAATTATTTCATAATTCAACGAATGCACTTTAAGTTTTGCAGTCGCGCATATTATACTTATCTTTAACGCACATTATATTAACTAATAATTAAACGCATATTAGAGAAAGAAAGAGTTAAATATTGTCTTTGTACGCATATTAACCTTTAATGTCGCGCAAGTTAAATGTTAATCGACGCATTTGAAGACATTGGCATTTACCACGGACCAAAGTTTCTATACATAAACCAACGCACATTCTGTTTCTGTATTACGCATATTAAGGTTTAATGTAGCACACTTTAAAAGTGTAATCAACGCATATTAAGAATTAACTTCACGCAGGTAAAGTAGCAATAACACTCATAATAACGGGCTTAAGTTGCGCATATTAGTGAATAAATTGACGCATTTCTGTTTAATAATACCCGGTCGAACATTTTCATATCAACAGTCGCATTCTGCTAGACCTAAAGTTGTCACATACGAACAGTCGCATTCGTTTAAGAACTTGACATTTAAATCCAAAATTATTCTCGACTCAAACCTGTCTCCTTCAAACATATTTTTGCTTTTCTACTCTACCTTGTAAAGAGAGTTTCAATGGCAATCGAACCCCACACCGAAGTAGTTGGAAACCAACTCCGAATAGGACTGCGCTGGAATTCAATTAGGGTTCGAGTGCTACGAGTCGTTCGTTTGCCAGAAACCAAAGGTTCTGAAAGAATCCGATCTATAGAGTGTGTACTTCACGATGTAGAGGTATTATTTTTGTTTATTGTAATATAAATCTTACGGAGTAATATTTTATATTTATAAAATTTACTATTGATGCATATGTTTTTTGTGTTTTTTTTTTTTTTTAAATAATTTCAGGGGACTTTTATTCATATGCACATTCCACAACCGTTTGCGGAAAGGCGCGGCAACAGATTTGTGGAAGGAAAAGCTTATCTACTCATTAGATTTGAGGTGGCCTATAGTACCTACAGAAACAAGACCTCTAGTCTCTGGTATATGCTGATGTTCTGTGAGAGAACTGGTGTAATATTACTGAAAGACGATGCTGAGTTCCCAACATATGCTTATGACCGAGAAGATTATGATTTCGATCAAGAGGTGATCTACTGCATACTTACATTGTTTTTCCCTTTTTTTATATAATTTTATTGATGTATTTACAGTTTAGTAACTTTCACGATTTGATGGATGAACAGGTTCCTGACGCTCCTGTTGGAAACTTGGCTAATGAGGATGTAATCAATGAGGAGGCTGCGTAATAAGGATGAATATTGACGAAAATATCAAGATTTTTATGCGTATTATGTAATTACTTGTTGTTATTTTCGTCATACAATTTATGAATTAATAAAATTTATATATTATCATTTTATGTCTATTATGTGATCTATTATGTTATCATTAACGCATATTCTACTTGTTTTTTTTTTTTTAATAAAATATAATAAACGCATCTTAGAATGGAATTCCGCGCACTTTAATTGGTTTCGCGACGCACATTAAACTTTTGTATTTATTAATAAAATATAATAAACGCATCTTATAATGATATTTCGCACACTTTAATTTGTTTCCCGACGCACATTAAACTGTTGGATTTATTAATAATATATAATAATCGCATATTAGATTGATATTTCGCGCACTTTAATTGGTTTCGCGACGCACATTAAACTTTTGGCTTAAAAAAATCATTTATTTCGATGCAAATTAATTAAATTTATATTTACACGCATGTTTATTTCATAATCAAATAAACGCACTTTAAGTTTTCTAGTCGCGCATATTAGAATTATCTTTAACGCATTATGTATTAACTAATAATTAAACGCATATTATAGAAAGAAAGTGTTAAATACTGCCTTTGTACGCATATTAAGCTTTAATTTTGCGCAAGTTAAATGGTAATCGACGCATGTAAAGACGTTTACCACGGACCAAAGTTTCTATACATAAACCAACGCATATCCTGTTTCTGTACTACGCACATTAAGGTTTAATGTAGCGCACTTTAAAAGTGTAATCAACGCATATTAAGAATTAACTGCACACAGGTAAAGTAGTAATAACATGCACATTAAGCTATTAGCAGTGATTGTTAAACACAAATCAGTCATAAAAACAAAAACTAGTAATAGCTGGACATTAAATTCAAGTATCTCAACTATAAAAAGCCTTCTGAAATGAGTTAACTAAGTAGTTGTGTTTCATATTTGCTATCCATTTTCGTTCTCGACTTTAAAGGCGTTGAAAAAATAGTCTGCTATGCCTTTTTCTTACCCTTTTGCTTGTCCTTATTTTTAGGGTTAAGTGGGCAAGTCCTGGTGTCATGGTGATCTCCTCTAACACCACAAAAATTGCACTTCCTGCCCTATTGTTTTTCCATTGCCAACTCCTTGCTGCTTTTGATACGATTGCCGCTGCCCTTGTTCTTTGCATGTTTCGGTGGAAGTATGTTGATCTCTGAAATTTCTGTTGATCCACAATATGATTCTATAACAGTCCTCCTGCTGTGCTGAGGGGACAATTTCTCCTTTCCTGACAGTAGTAGCTGTTTCTGTTCATCAATCACTTTGGAAAATGCAGTCAATTGCTCCATGTTTGATCCTGCCAGATCCATACAACAGTGTATATCAGACCACACTTTGTTCAGCAACATCTTCTTTTCATCCTTTGGTCCATTCTGATCGTAAATCACACCATCTATTTCAAACGTAGCTTTTAAAGATGCATCCTTAGTCCACCGATTAACCACGTACTTCAGAGGGATCCTTTCAAGGTCTCTAAAGACCACAAATATGTGTCGACACAACAGTCCAACCATCTCAAACATCTTGCAACTGCATTTGGCCTCATGGTCATTTACATTGTGCACCACAGTAAATCTTTTGTTCTTTCCATCCATAATATCATAGTGCAACATTCCACCGTCTTCTCTAACACTCAACACCATACATTTGAAACAGGAGGCACATATTTCTTCCTGAACTTGATAGAAAACAGTAATGGTGTAGACGATTGAAGCATGCTTTTCAATTCCCAGAGGCGTCTTCATATCCGGATTGTAGCCTTCGTTGTCACTGTTGAGCTTTGCGTTTGTGTTACGTTGTGATCTAAGAGCACTGTCAAAGTTCATCATGAATTCAACTAGGCTTGATTGGGGACCACTAAAACGGCTGTACGCGTAGTTCTCACTTTCGGAACGAGAAGTTGTTCTGAGTAGTCCTCCCATAAAGACATCTCTAAAATACGCTGGGATCCAATGCTTTCTAGCCTCAAACATAGTTTTAAACCAGTTGTGTTCGACTAAGTTGTACTTTTCCATCAGCTCTCTCCACTGCATCTCAAAATCAGGAGGTTCCAAAGATGACGTCCAAACGATTGAGTTCAGTTTGTTCCTGAATTCCTCATCCTTGTTCAGCGTAGGACCCACCTTTTCCCCAACTTTACACATGATGTGCCACATGCAATAACGATGCCTGGCTTGCTTGAAAACTGTTGGAATCGCCACTTTCATAGCTGGATCTTGATCGGTGACAATTATTCTTGGTTCCATACCCATTGCCTTTTTAAATTTTTCAAAGAGCCAAACATAAGACTCAATGTCTTCTTCCAACAGTAGTCCAGCACCGAATGTTATACATTTTTTATGGTTATCAACTCCGGTGAAGGGTGTTAAAACCAGATCGTACCTACAGGACAAAAAGCGTCATCACAGTATGAAGGTGTCAAACTGCCGCACTTAGAGAATTAGAGTAACGCACATTAAGTTTTAAAATAGCACACATATGTAATTGAGGTCTAATTCTGGAAATTCCGCATAATATGCGAGACAGAAGCGTTTAAGATGCGTGGTATAAAACAACAATGTGCGTTTATTTGTATTTCAAATCTTTTTCAATAAAACAGTGAACGTGTGTAAATCTTAACATGTCTCAATAGATCAGGCAATGCTAAATCTGTATTAATTAATGAAACGCACGCAAGAATGTGAATAGAATAGTATATACCTGTTTGTTGAGTATGTGGCATCAAAAGAGACAACATCTCCAAATGCAACAAAATTCTTTTTTGACATTGGATCTGCCCAAAACAGTCTGTTCATCTGCTCATCTTCATCAACCTCGTAGTCAAAAGCAAATGCAGGACACATCTCTTGTTTCTTAATAAGATTGTGCACCAGTATTTGTGCATCAGCTCCCAATATGTATGCTCTGAGATCCCTTCTGACATTTTTAAAGTCCACTACAGTTGCTCCAACTTCAGAGTAATCCCCCACAATATGACTGTATAAACCGTGAGATTTTGATGCTCCAATATTTGCTTTAGCGCAGTCGAGTATAAACTTCTGGTGAACACTGGAGATGTTTCTATTTCCCTTTAGAAACTGCCTTGCCAGAACCGAAGACATGTTGTGATTATGTTTTTCAATAAAAGTGGTAACTTGGTACCCAGCTGCTCCAATGTACTTAAACATAATCCTAGCTCTGCAACCAGTTCTGTTTGAAACCCTTCGCCGCTTTGGACGGGAAGGACCTTCCCCTGCATCTGCACTTGACTGCGACTGACAATGTTGAGCTCCTGTATTCTTAAATCCTTCTCTGTTGCAAAGGATTAGCTTTTGAGTTTTTGTCCCGTCACGTGCTGTAACGACGGAACTAGACCTCGTGTCAAACCCGACTTTCGCAGCATAACGAGTGTAGAATTCAATACCAGCATCCAATGTTTTAAAAATCATGTCTACTGCTGGTCTGATTTCGTCTTCACAGTGAGGAGTCCAATACTGTGTCATTCCAGGAGATATGGTCAATGTATGACCATTGCTGCTGCTGCTGGGACTCAAACAGGGGTTGTTTGTAGATTGAATGTCAATGGGAACTGTAACATATAAGCATGAAGTTATGATTGTGTTGTTGCAAGCCCCTACGTGCGTAATGTGAACACTTAATATGCGTTAAGTTAATCAGATCATTGTTAATATGGCAGATTTATAAAATACAAGAGTATGTGCGGCAAGTGAGAAATTAACGTGCGTCAGGGTAATAGTTAACGTGCGCATGTTAAACAGTTAATATGCGTGAGTGTTTGTTAAAATATTATGTCATTACTTAACGTGCGTTAGAGAGTCCAGTAACATAACATGCGTCTGGAAAGGTATTAATGTGTGTGTGCTCAACAGATAACATGTGCGAGGAAAACAGTAATATGTGCATTTTTAAAAATTATCATGCGGCTACGTGATCATCTAAGTGCGTAAGGCTCTAGGCTCGGATTAATTAAAGTTGCTCAGTAATTCGGTGGTTAAGTTGCATGCTTAATGTGCGTGTAATTAAGACAAGAATGATAACAATACAAATGCAGATAAAATTAATTCCAGAAAAACGATAGAATTTGGGTAATACCTCGATCGAATTCTTCCATTGTTCTTCGGTTGACGTTTTTGATGTGTTTAGGGTTTATTTTGATGAATATGATATTGAACGGCGAAGAGAGAGAATAGATCTTATTGCCAATTCCGTAGAGATCGTAAATTCGTCTGAGATTAGGAAATATAGAAGATTAGGAATCAATGTTGAATTTGAAAACGCTGGAAGAAGAAGAACATATTTTTTTTTAATATAATCAAAATGACAAAAATGCCCTTAATGAGCAATTCGCGCTTAATTTTTGCTATTAATCTGATTCGTTCGATCAAGAGCTACGTGGGGCTTAGATTTAACCTCATTATACACGGGAAGCAGTAAATGCACGGGAGCCCTTCCCTATATATATATATATATATATATACACACAGACACACATATACTAGCTTTACATGCGCATTGCGCGAATGAGTTAATGCCCAATGTTTATAATTAAATAAATATTTGAAAGTGTATCAATGCAATATTATATATGAGAAGTAATATGTAATTTATAGTATATGAATACAATGTAATATAGGAGATTCATTATAATTGTTACTAAACTTTTTTTAAATAGTATATAAGTATTTGTGTTGCAAAGGGTTCTAATATATTTAATGCATGCAAATATATACAAGATCAATGACTCAACTAGTCCTTTAGGTGTTTTGTTCAGTGTTCATTTAGTTCAACCATTATTGTTGAATAAATTATTATGGATAAAGAAATTCCTAATTTAAGGAATTTAGATGTTGTAAAAATTTAAAATTTTTAATTATAATGTAACCCAAAGATATTGGACGATTGGTAAATATAATGAAAGATCAAAATGCTAAAGAAAGTGTTTGGTTAATCAATAGTTTGAAGTAACAATTTGTTCCAAACCACTGAAAATACAAACATTGCAATTTACAATATTTTCACTTAGCGTTTTTTTAGAATGATTTTCCAAAAACACATCTACATTTAAAAAAAAAAAAGTTTACTGTAGAGCCATTTCAACTCCTTGAATAACAAGAGCCAGTTTCACTGGCTCACTGCTTGCCCATCAACGGATGGTCAAGCTTAATTTTTAAATTAAGGCTTTTTTTATAGGAGCCTCAAGGCTCACATGCCACTGTTAGCACTGATGTGAAAAAAGTGGCAAAACTAAGGGGAGCCGAACGTTCGGCTCCCCATATGTTTTATTATTATTTTTTAAATTTCTTTTATTAAATTATTATTATTTTGTTAACAATTATTATTATTATTATTATTATTATTATTATTATTATTATTATTATTATTATTATTATTATTATTATTATTATTATACCCTTAGGTCATTTTACATGTTGATCTAAACAGTTAATTTTTTCAAATATCTTTTTACCAACCGTTGATATAATTCGTTGGTCAAATCCGCTAACGCTAACCGCTAACTGCTGATCTTCAAACAAGGACATTGTGAGTTAGTTTCCCACTTTCAATTTGTTGTGTGATTTGAATACTCTCTTTGTCAACAAATCACTCAAGTAGTTAATATGATTGGTTTAATTATATTTTTTTTTTAATTTTTCATGGTATTAATAAAATACTTGGTAAATAAATATATAGCACTATTTTGTATTATACTTTGATATTTAATTAATCAACTGATGAATTTGAATGTAAAGAATATTATTTACATTGGAGAAAAATAAAGACAATATAACTAATGAAATTATTTCTCTTAATTAATTTATTGATTGATAATGAATAATATTTTTTGAATAAAGACATTGTAGGGACAATGTAGCGAATATAATCAATTGATGAATTTGAATGTAAAGAATTTTTATATTCAAGAAAAATAAAGACAATATAACTAATGAAATTATTTTTCTTATTTAATTTATTGATAATGATTTTTTTTAATAAAGGCATTATTGTAGACACATATTCTAAAATAAAGAAATGCATATGTATTATTTTTTGTTGTAGCTACTAAATTATTATATACTATCTATCTACTATTCTACTATACTAATAAGAGTTAAAGAGAGTTAGGCCTATAATGGGTAGAAAAAATGGTGGTCAAATTTTTTAATCAAATGAATGACTCAGATTGATCAGATTTTAATTTTTCATTGAGATTTCCTAATATATCCTTAATTATATGATTATTCGTTAACTTTTCTGTTAATTTCTGTTAGTTCACCGTTAACTTACTCATTGATTTCAATAGGAAAGGTCTTAGGTTTAGAACCCCATCCCAATCAAAGTTGGCATAATTAGTACACTATTTTACTCTTATTAAATTAAATTATAATTTAGCAGCTACAACAATATATATATATATATATATATATATATATAGGATTATTTTCAAATACAAACTCCCCTTAAAATACAAACTGTGTGCATGTAAGTATGTTAATGTATGCACGAGCTAATCCTAGATGTTGTTGGCAGTGTGCCCAGTGTGCATGTAAGTATGTTAATGTGTGCACGAGCTTTGATGGATGGTTGTGATTTTTTCCTCCTACGCGCGGTGTACATGTAAGTATGTTAATGTGTGCACGAGCTTTGATGGATGATTGTAATTTTTCCTCATACACGCTGTGTGCATGTAATAAGTATGTTAATGTATGCACGAGCTAGTTTGTATTTTAAGGTGAATTTGTATTTTAAGGGGGTTTGTATTTGAATGCAACCCCATATATATATATATATATATATATATATATATATATGCATTTCTTTAATTTAGAATTATGTGTCTACAATGCCTTTATTCAAAAAAAAAAAATATTCATTATCAATAAATCAATAAATTAAATAAGAGAAATAATTTCATTAGTTATATTGTCTTTATTTTTCTCCAATGTAAAAATTCTTTATCTTCAAATTCATCAATTGATTATATTCACTACATTGTCCATTATCTTTTTTTTTTGTGCACTATTTTTTAATTAAATATCAAATTTATAATACAAAATAATGTTATATATTTATTTACCAAGTATTTTATTAATACCATGAAAAAATTAAAAAAAAATATATGATTAATTAAAGCCAATCATATTAACTACTTGAGAGATTTGTTGACAAAGAGAGTATTCAAATCACACAACAAATTGAAGTGGGAAACTATTTCACAATGTCCTTGTTTGACAATCAGCAGTTAGCGGATTTGACTAGCGAATTATATAAACGGTGGGTAAAAAGATATTTAAAAAAATAAGTTGTTTAGATTAACATGTAAAATGACATAAGGATATACATATATTTCATAATAATAATAATAATAATAATAATAATAATAATAATAATAATAATAATAATAATAATAATAATAATAATTGTTTAAAATAATAATAATAATTTAATAAAAGAAATAAAAATAAAAAAAATAAAAAAAAAATAAAACATATGGAGAGCCGAACATTCGGCTCTCCTTAGCTTTGCCACTTTCCCACATCAGTGGGAAAAGTGGCATGGGAGCCTCGAGGCTCCTTAAGGAGCCGTAAGGCTCCAATTTAAAAATTAAGCTTGCCCATCCGTTAATGGGCAAGCAGTGAGCCAGCGAAACTGGCTCTTGTTTTTCAATGAGTGGAAATGGTTATACAGTAAACTTTTTTTTTTTGTTATTTAAATATAGAGGTGTTTTAGATAAATCATTCTAAAAAACGCTAAGTGAAAATATTATAAATTGCAATGTTTGTAATTTCAGTGGTTTGGAACAAATTGTTGTTTCAAACTATTGAATAACCAAACACTTTCTTTAGCTTTTTTATCTTTGGGTTATATCATATTACCAATCGTACAATATCTTTGGGTTACATTATAATTAAAAATAAATAAATTTTTACTACATCTAAATTCCTTAAATTAAGAATTTCTTTATCCATAATAATTTATTCAACAATAATGATTGAACTAAATGAACATTGAGTAAAACACCTAAAGGACTGGTACCGTTGATATGATTCATTCATTGATCTTGTATATATGTGCATTCATTAAATATATTAGAACCCTTTGCAACAAAAATGCTTGGTTACTATTTTTTTAAAAAAATAGTAAAAATTATAATGAATCTCTTATATTACATTGTATTCATATACTATGAGTTACATATTTAAATAAATAAATTCGACATTAAATTACTTATGTACGAACTTCTCATATATAATCTTGCATTGATATACTTTCAAATATTTATTTAATTATAAACATTGGGCATTAACTCATTAGATAAACAAAATAATTTTGACGATTGTTAGAAAGCCTTTATGACAGTTAGAGTAGATATTGACTTCACTAAGCCATTGAAATGAGAATGTAGCTGGAAAAAAATCTAGTGGTGACTTAGAGTTAGACTGATGAATGAATAACGGTACCCATCTTTTAAGTATTTTGCTCAGTGTTCATTTAATTTAATCATTACTGTTGAATACATTATTTTGGATAAAGAAATTTATAATTTAAGGAATTAGATGAAGTAGTAAAAATTTTAAAATTTTAATTATAATGTAACCCAAAGATATTGGACGATTGGTAAATATATATGATGTAAGTATGTAACCCAAAGATCAAAATGTTAAAAAAAAGTGTTTGGTTATCCATTAGTTTAAAGCAACAATTTGTTCCAAGCCACTGAAAATATAAACATTGCAATTTACAATATTTTCACTTAGCATTTTTGAGAATGGTTTCCCCAAAACACCTTTATATTAAAAAAAAAAAAACAAAAAAAAAGTTTACTATAGAGCCATTTCGACTTATTGAATAACAAGAGCCAAAATTGGCTCACTGCTTGCCCATCAACGGATGGACAAGCCTAATTTTTAAATTGGAGCCTTAAGGCTTCTTTTATAGGAGCCTCAAGGCTCCCATGCCACTTTTTCCACCGATGTGGAAAAAGTGGCAAAACTAAGGAGAGCCGAATGTTCGGTTCCCCATTATGTTTTATTTATTTATTTATTTTTATTTTATTTTTTTTATTAAATTATTATTTTTATTTTTTATTTTTTTAAAACAATTATTATTATT